CCATCTCGTATCCCTTCTGCTGGGTTTCCCTCTTTAATTTTTCACCAGTTTGTTTGGTTCTGCTCCCTGCAGAGGCAGCTCCACGGGAAGGAGAAGAAATCGAATGTTTATTTTTAGAGAGTGCCAGAAGAGTTCAACCCAAGGCAAATTCAATTACTTCAGGTTGTGCACAGCCCTCAGAGAGGCTGCAGAGGATTCGTTTCCAAAGGGGAAATGCCCAAACCCAGCACGATGAGGCACGGGGGTGAGAGCACAGGGAGCTGTTTGAGCAGCCCTGCCCAGCCTCAAGAGGAGGAAAGGCTCGATCCAGACAATTGAAACCAGCAATAAAACGGCACCAGGAGATCCATGGATGGATTTTTCCTCGACACGCTCGCCCCCAACAAGTGCCACATGTCCTGGGTATAAATAGCAGCTGCCCAGGCTTGCTTAACCATCCCATTGTTGCTCTATAATATTAATTAAACATTCCTCTGGGATTGTTTGCATCCTAATTAAGCAGGGGGACTTACAAAAGAACAGCAAAGAAACCAAACAAGTGCGTGCTGGGGGTGCAATTTCATTGAACCATGTGCAACTGTGGTTAAAAAAACCATGAAAATGGCAGGGCTGGGGGTGAAAGCATTTTTAGAGCCACCAGTGCTGGGGACTGTTTGATCAACGGTGCTGGGGACCAGGAGCGGCTCCGGGATCTTGGGGAGGGAAGCCCGGAGTGCAGGGGACAATAATGTACTGAGGGGGACAATATTGTATATCACGGATGACAATATTGTACTGTGGGTGACAATATCATATTTGTGGGTGACAATACTGTACTGCAGGTGACAATATCGTACTGTGAGTGACAATTTGTATTTCAGGTGACAATACCGTACCACGGGTGACAATATCGTATCACAGATGACACTATCATATCATGGATCACCCCAGCTCCCCGAGGAGCCCTTCCCAAGGGACAGGTCCCCAAATCCTTCTGGCCTGGGAGCTAGGGCTCATCTCCCCTCCCTCCCTCCTCTGGCACAGACTCCAGCACATTGTTCCCAGCTCAGACTCATGCACCCTGCAGGGATGTGCTGTGAATTACTTCCCAAATTATGTGAGTAATTAAAATCAATGAGAGGGTATCCTGTTAAATAACGTAATTAGATGAGCACAGCAGCGAGATGAGTGCAATGGTGGTTTTGTTCTCCTGCCTGGAGACAGCTTTTAACTCTTTCCCTCTTGGCTCTCCCCTGGGTCATGACAGGAAAACACTTCCCCTGCTTCCTTCAGAGCTTCTCCCAGCCCGGGGCTGTCCTTCCCCACAGTGCCCATCCCTGGTTATGTGGGGGACGCTGGCAATGCCCCAAAGCTGAGGGCTACAAACACCTGACCCTCTGTGAGCACAGAACTGCCTTTGGATCCCCGTTAACCCAGAGCTGGGAGAGGAGAGGAGAGCAGGGCTCTCCTGCCCAGAGCTTGGCATGGAGCCCCACAGATGGAAATGGGATTGTCTGAGGTGCAGAGGAACTCTCTGAGCCATCCCTGCAGGTCCAGGCAGTTCCCATTGCCCACTCCAGGTCCCTGTGGACAAACAGCACCTTTCCTACAGCACAGAGGCTTCAGGGGTGCCCTAATTCCAGAGAAACAGAATGGCTCAGGAACCTGAGTGCTGAGAGTGGTTCTGGATCTATCTCTGCTTCCTGCAGGGCAGGAGCAGCCCCAGCCCATTGAGATACATGTGGAGAGCTCTCTCCTCCAGCCTGGAGTGCTGAGAGCTCCTGGGGGCTCTGGGGAGGGTGGAGGCATCTGGCCAGATGGCTCTCACTGCAGGAATGGAATCTAAATAATTAATTTATAGTACAGTGTTCAGGCCCTCGCTGTGTCCCAGAGGAAAGGCTGCAAGTCCTTCACCTGGGGGTTGTTTTCTCCAGCTGTGATCCTCGCAGAGATGAGGGGCTCTGTGTCTTGTGGGCCTTCAGCTCCCCTGCGATTCCCCAAGATGTGTCACATGGAATTGTCCCATGAAATCACACCATGGCAAAGGAGCTGAACCCTGCTGGGGACAATCCCCGGGGTGGGGACTGTGGGAATGCTGCCCTGGAGGGGCTGCAGGGTGAGAGGCTGCTCTGGGGGGATTTCAGCACTCAGAGCCTCATGGAGCTGGCTGGGGCAGGGTGCAGGGTGCAGGAGGAAGGGGCAGGTTTGGCTGTCTGAGGTGCCCTATCCCCTCCATCTCTGGGTGATTTACAGCTGCCATAAAACCCCTGCTGAAGGAGGACTTTTGCTCCACTTTCCTGGCAATGCAGTTTATCTCCAGAGAATTTCCCAATACTCTGGAGCTGCAAATAGAATGTTTCTCCCATTCCTCCTAGGAATAAATAGGAATATCTCTGTAATTTGCCTCTTTAAGCCATATATTCCATGCAAAGCTCCGACCATGCTGCCAACAGCATCTCATCTGCCACACCTTTGGAAAGCAGGTGAACAGCACAGAGAAATTTCCCCTCTTGGATGATGCCGAATGCAGAGGAGCCAGCCTCTCCTTTTTCAGGCAGAGCTCCATTCAGGGCACAGGAAACCCAGCACAAAGCCGGCCCTGAATGGTTTCCACACCATTAGCATGAGCACATGCAGATCAGGCAGCTGCAGCACCAACGCCTGGCTGCCTGCCCTGGGTGTGAGCCCTGCAATTGTCTGGAGCAGAGGGAGCCCAGAGGAGGGGAAAGCTCTGAGCAGGTACCTGGGGAGAGCTGCAGCACGGTGTGGGTTGGAAAGCACCCTAAACATGCCCTAATTCCAGTCCCTGGGCAGGGACACTGCCACTGCCCCAGTTCCTGGCCTTGGGCACTGCCAGGGACCCACAGCTGCTCTGGGCACCTGTGCCAGGGGCTCACTCCCTCACAGGAAGGAATTTCATCCCAATATCCCACCTAACGCTGCTCTGCTCCAGTTTAAAGCCCCTGCCCCTGTCCTGCCCCTGCACAAACAGCAAACAGCAAACACAAACCCTCCTGAGAGCAGCCAGCCGTGTTTCCCTCTCCTCCTGCCCTGCAGCAGCCCAAGCAGCCCCATCTCATTGTCAGCGGAATAAGCTGTGAAATGGGTTTGGAAATCAAGGCTCTTTAATTACAGCACATTTGGGAGCCTTCTGGAGGCCATCTGGCCGGAGAGCAGGGTGTGGGCTCCAGCAAGGGAAAGCCCAGGGAGCAGCAGCAGCTCCTGCAAAAGCACTCCATTAATGCTAAGAGCTAAATCCTCTCTTGCCATTAGGCCATATGGGCCAGAGCAGCACTCATCCATCCATCCCAGGGCTGTGCAGCTGCAGGGCTGGGTGCCTGGGAGCCCTGGGTGTGCTGCTCAGCCAGCCCTGGGCTGAGCCTGAGCAGGGATTTCTGTAAATCCCAGTGCCCACCTTGGCTGAGCCTGAGCAGGGATTTCCATAGATCCCAGTGCTGACCAGGGATTTCCATAGATCCCAACGCTGCCCCTGCCATCGCTGCCCTCCCAGGCAGGCCCACGGGGAGCCTCCTCCTCCTCCCATTACTGCCCTGTGTCTGGGATTAGCCACTCACTCCTATCATCCATGCAGAACGCAGCCAGGGCCTCCTCACACGCTGCCATCGTGCTAATTAGCTGGGTTTCATACTCAATAATGGAGAACAATTTCATGGCAGTTTCATGAAGGGAAAAAAGAGGAGCAAAAGCCATTGTAATTTCAGGAAAAGTCCCTGGAGAAGTGAAATGGTAATTCACAAATCCAACTCTGATCTATTAGTAGATCCTGCTCTGGAGACTAAATTAGGGAGGATGTCTGGCTTGGGTGATATTCTTCATTATTTGAATGTCTATAAAGAATATTTATTAAATATTTTTTTCTCTTAAGAACTTTGAGATGCAGCTGCATTTTCTTGCTATTTCCAAGCGTTTGAAGCCTAGCCCACACTGGATTTGTCACTGCAAACACCCTGGAAAATCCTATTTTAATGCAAAGCTGCTCCTCTCTCTGGAAAACTCCTTCTCTTTGGTGACCCTCTGGAAAGCAGAGGGGAGGTGACAAACAGGATGAACTGCTGATAAAAGAGGAGGCAAAAAAATGCTTCCCAAGCAGCCTCTCAGCATTCAGAGAAAGGAGAAAGGGGGAAGCAGCAGCAGCCCTGGAGCCCACAGGAGGAAGGACAAAGCCTGCTCGGGTTCCTGCAGCAGTGCTGAGCTCGGGGGCTGCCCTGCTCCTCTCCTTGTATGGGCACAAGCACGGCCTGCCTTGTGCCTATATTTAATTTGCAAAGCAGAACAAGAATTCTGCCTGTGCTGTGCTGGCCTCAGCCTCGGGCAGCTCAGCAGGAGCAAAGCTGGGTGTTTGAAATAAAGAAACAAAGGAACAAAATGTAAACAACGGTCATCTGCTGCTGCGGAGTGCAACAGGTGCATCTGTGATTGGCCCATGGTGGATGTTTGTAATTAATGGCCAATCACAGTCAGCTGGCTCGGACACAGAGCTGAGCCACAAACCTTTGTTATCATTCCTTCCTTTCTATTCTTAGCTAGTCTTCTGATGAAACCTTTTCTTCTATTCTTTTCGTATAGTTTTAATGTAATATATATCATAAAATAATAAATCAAGCCTTCTGAAACGCGGAGTCAGATCCTCATCTCTTCGCTCATCCAAGAAACCCTGTGAGCGCCGTCTCACTGCCCATGGCTGTGCCACATCCCTGGTCCTGTGCCCCTCTCCAGCCAGCCCTGGGGCTCTTCCCTTGGCAGCAGCCTCTCCCCAAACCCCACACCCCACACCCGTGCCCGTGTCAGTGCTGGGGGCAGGAGGGATGGGGAGGCTGCAGGAGCCCCGGAGGCTCAGGCTGAGCAGGGGCTCACTCTGCAGCAGCGCTGGCACCCTGGCAGGGAGCTGTGCCATCATTTACAGCCTCTCCTGCAATGCAAACTCCCCACACTGCCCAGCCCCAGCGGGGAACAGCCAGGGAACCCCCACAGTGAGAGAACAGAGCCAGGGTGTCCCAGAGCAGAGTGAGACAATCCCACTTTATTGGAAACTCTCAGAGTCGGACACAGAAGAACTTGGTTCTGTCACAGCAGGGTTTGTACAACAGCAACAGGAACACAACACGAGATGGGGCACCGAACTTTGCATCTGGGAGAAAATCCAACCGTGAACTTCAGCAGTGCTGTACCTGCATCAATCCACAGGGACAAGGGGAAGGGGCAAACCCACCGAGACCCCCGGTCACAAACCCCTGTAAGGAGCCTTGTGCCCCCTGGTTGGACTGGCAGGGGAGGGAGAGATGCTGGCAGGGCACCAGGGACACAGATTAAGGAGAAACTCCCCCAAAGCTGGGGGTCTGGCCCCCACTCAGCAATTGTTCAAGTCTTATAAATTCAAATTATTTCTTTCCATTTAAATAACAAGTGCTTCAGGTACAAGGCTTGGGATGCCAGGTTTGTAACCCAGTTTCAAGTGCACACAAGCAGGAATAGATTTTTTTAACAAAACTATATATATATATATATATATATATCTGCACACTCATACACACACATGCACACCATGGATTTTGTGCTGCACCATTGAGCTGGAGATGATGGAATGGGCCTGGCACCAGGAGCTAATTACCTGTGGCACCACTCACCCTAAAGCTGCTAAAGATCTGCATTATTTTTGCCAATATTGGTCCCCAAAGGTCTCCCCACGAGGAGCTGCTGCTCAGGCAGTCCCTGGAGCTGGAGTTGTGCAGAAAATTCCGTGTGCAGCATTTCTGCAGGACCCTCTCTTGTCAGAGTCCCTGAGCAGGTGGGCGGCCTCCAGCTGGCGGTGGGTGTGGAGATGCTGGGCAGAGCAGGGCTGTGAGAGGCTGGGCAGAGCAGGCTCACACCCACACGGCCGTGTTGATGTCAAAGCCAGCCTGGCTGTAGTCTCTGGGCTCGGGCACTTTCCTGGTGCCCCCCTTGGGGTGCTCACCACGGCCCTCTGCCCTCGGGCACCTCTCTGCCTTGCTGTGGTGGCTCTGCAGGTTGCCGTGCAGGGGCAGGTAAAACGTGCCCTTGAGTTTGCTGATCTTTTTGGACCTCTTGGAGATGTGGGGCTGTTTGTCCTCGGGCGGGAGCCAGCAGGGCTTCTCCTTGAGCAGCCTGTCGCGGTCCGGCCGCACGCTGCGCAGGAACTTCTTGAAGATGTTTGTTGTGAGGGAGAACTTCCTGCAGAGCTCCTGGGACCTGCTCAGGGACAGGGAGGCCTCGCCCTTGTCGCCCTTCTTGTCCAGCTCGGGCAGGTCCAGCCAGTTGCCCACCAGGTCTGCGAAGATGTTGTCGCCCAGCACCAGCGGCTGCCGGTTCCTGCTCTGCGACATCAGGGACGAGGTCCAGTCGTGGCCATCGTCACAGCCCGGGCACTCCTGGCACGGTGCCCATGCCCCAGCCGTGCCCTGGCTGGGCTCTGGTGCCCGGGGCACGCAGGAAGGTCCTTTAGGGGGGCACACACTGTCCCTGCAGAGGCTCTGCGAGGAGCAGGGGCTGTCCCGGGGCTGGTGGCTCTCTGGGCGTGCAGCAGGCTGGCACAGGCTGGCTGGCTGTGGCACGGGACACGCCAGGGACGGGGGGCAGTGTCCCTGGGTGTCCCCCAGCCCCGTCCCTGTGCTGCTCCTGCAGCAGCGGCGCTGCTCCGAGAGCTCCAGGTGCTCCAGGGCCGTCTGCACCTGCAGCAGCTTCAGCTCCTGCAGGGCGCCCATCATGCAGTTCATCTGCTCGTGCAGCCCGTCACCCACCTCCTTCATGGACAGCTGGGGGGGAGAGAACAGCGCGTCAGGCTCCCTGGGGTCAGGGTCCCCAGCAGTGTCCCCATGGGTCAGGGTCCCCAGCAGTGTCCCCATGGGTCAGGGTCCCCAGCAGTGTCCCCATGGGTCAGGGTCCCCAGCAGTGTCCCCATGGGTCAGGGTCCCCAGCAGTGTCCCCATGGGTCAGGGTCCCCAGCAGTGTCCCCAGGGCAGCAGAGCAGGGCTGAGCAGCTCTCTGGGCCATGCCCTCCCTCCTGGCCACCTCTGCCATCAATCCCACCTGCACTGCACCCACTTCAGCCAACAGCACTCTGATTCTCCTTAGGTTTTTCTAGGAGCGTCCCTCTAGGATTAAGAGGAGCTGACAGAAGTGGATTGTTTGACCTGACAACAAAAATAAAGAGTTTGGGTTCCCATTAATTGCTTGGCAGAAGCCCAAGGTGTAGAACTATGAATGGTTTTGGCTGCCGCCAGTTTTAGAATGTTCTTGTGCTTTTGAGTCCATTGTGCCCTGCCGCCAGCTGAAATCAGGAGCCGGAACAGAGCCCTGCTTCCTCACCTGAAGCGCTCAAGTCGATTAAAAATAAACCCCAGGAAGAATTAAATTGTTACTCCATAACCCATCTCCAGCTCTCAATGCCCTCAGCACAGGCCCCTCTCGCTTGAGGACAATCAAAGACATTTCAATGCACTGGAAATTTTGCACAGAACAACCAACAAACTCCAGGATTACTTACATTCAAGCAGGAATTCTCTGATTCCCAGGCTAGGACCTTTAGTAGCAGCTCTGCTTCATCCCTGAACCTCACTACAAAGATTGAGCTTTCTTCACCAGGCTTAAAATAAGCAAGTTATTCTCCAGAGCTTCCCAGCTCCCCCTTTATTCGCTCTGCTGCTTTCTCTCTCTCCTGCAGGATCTGGATCATATTCCCAAAGCAGCACCAGGAAACACATGGGCTCCACTTCCCAACAGCTGCCATGAGTCATTTTTAGCAGGAGGGGAGTGGGGCTGGCAGGGCTGCAGTGTCACTTCACTCTGGCTGAGGGGTTTGCAGAGATTACCCCGTCCAGGCAGCTCCAGCCTACGCTGTCACCAGCACTCTAAAAAGCTCATCACCATTTCTTGTACAGATCTCAAGATTAGGGTGAAAAAGGCCAGCTTCTTCTGTTATTCTTATGTTCAGCTTTACATTACCAAGCTTTGTTTCCTACATCTCCTTCATTTTACCCAAGCTGGCGCAATTACTCGCTCTATTTCCATCTCTGTACGTGGAGCTGAGCAGCGAGGAAGAGCAGCCATCAGAGAATTGTGACAGCCCAGCTCTCCAAGGGGAAACTGCTCAACAGTTTCTGACCACAAATCCCATTTCAAACCCCAGAACCTGGAACTAAACTCACCAGCAGGTTACAGACATTTTTCAGAGCTCTCCTCTCAAGGAACTTGTTTATCACCCAGAATGAGCACACAGCTACAAAGACACAGAAAATCTGTGCTCAGCTTCCTGATCCCACTGCGCAGAGCCTCCAGCTATGGCATTTCTTAACATCAGCAAATAAACTCCTGCTGCAGATGTGTAAATAATGTCCCAATTGCATCCTCACTGTGACCCTGTTCCCACCCCGAGCTGGGGCCAGCCTCAGACAGAACTGCACCTTACCTCTCCAGATTGCTGAGATGCTGCTCGTCCTAACCCTCCTTGCCTTATTAATGGCAGTCTGGTTTATCTGGGGCTTTGGAAAAAGCTGGATTTGGAGCCAGCCTGGCCCCTCATTGGCCATTCCCACCAAATCCCCTGGGCAGTAATCGCGCCCTGGGGAGCGCGGGGTCCTGCCCTGGACGGGGCTCCTCCA